CGCCGAATATTCGGAATTCACTACTCGTTACATCCCTAACTAAATGTACGAAATGTTCCATGATCATCACTCTAGATATACATTTTTAGAATCCTTGTTCAAAATTCATGAGATAAATATGCATTTTAGGATCTAAAACTAATATTTAAGCGAATATAAAACAAAGCTAACAAATTACTACCGAGGAAAGCTTGGTTGAATGCTCTAAAAAATATTTGATCATCTGTTGAAATTTGGGATTTTTCTAATGATAACCTTTCAACTTCTCTCGATCGTCTGCATCAATCAAGCAGGTTTTGATGATTTCAGTACTGCTTTCCTCAGTGAGATCAATTAAATTTCGATAGTATTTTTTTTTCTTTTTAGTTTTGCCGGTCACAATATTCCTTTACGACCTGCAATGTGAATTCCCTCTTAACTTCGCATTCTTTTGTGCATTTTTATATGATTTCTCTTTTTTTTAATAAGAATTGTAAAAAATATATATGTTAATGGCAATTATTAGCATATAGTAATCCCTAGTCCATATAGTCATATTAAAAAAATACTTTAATTTTCTTTTTTTACAAAAATTGATTTTTAAAAGTTAAATTATGTGTGACTTTTTTAAAACATAGAAAAGATATTAAAAAGCAACTTCCCCACCTAAATTTTGTAGCATTTACTTAAAACTGTTGCAACTAAATTCAAATTGAATCAGATGGAGAGTCTGTTCTACAAGTCATTTTCATTTTCTAAATATATTTATGCTCTACTAGCTTTGATATTTTTACTTAAATCTCTTTAATGCTGACTATTTTTAGATTTAACTTCGACTTTAGATTTTTAGAGAAAGACTTAGAAGTTACTTGTAGCATTTACTTAAAAATTTTACAACTTAATTCCAATTGAATCAGATGGAATGTCTGTTGTACTAGTCATTTCCATTTTCAAAATATATGCTTGTTCTACTAATCCTGGTATTTTTGCTTAAATCGTTTTAATGCTGATTTTTTTAAAAATTTAACTTCTACTTTAGATATTTAGAGAAAGACTTTGAAGTTTCCAGGTGTTTTAATTGCATGATTAATTCCCAATAAGGTTAATTATTATTCATATCAAATGGTTATCAAGTGGACAGATTAAAAATTTTAAACTAAAAGTATTTCTTTTCTTTAGACGGAAAGAAAAATACAACTTGCAATTTATACATTAGTTTAACCCCTTGCGGTCGAATTAAATTTATGCATGGGAGTCATGCTGGTCGAATTAATTTTCGCTGAACGAACAGTAATGCATAATGGGCATGATTTTGAAGGAAAAAAAATTTATAAATTCTTCTTAAACTTTAGATATATGTAACACAATAATGTGTGTTAATTTTAAGTAAAAATTATACTTTATAGTTCTCCATCGTGTGGTATCTTTCAGATCAGACTCCAATATGAAGCCCTGGTTTTTGAAAACGTGTGTAGCAAAAATAATTAGTTTGGCGCTTTCCGCCTTAAATTTCTCTGTTTGAACATACAGAACAATCTTTACTCTATACATCCTCACAGTGCAGCAATATATGTAGTTTTGCCCCTATGCTGTGGCTAACATCTTTGCAGTGGTGGCTGAGAGTAGACATACGACCGTAAAGAGTTAAGTTTCTTTATTTAAAGGTACTTTTGAAATGACTCAATTCGAAAGTGACCGATTTATTATTTCATCATTTAGAAAAAAGAGCAAGAAATTTTATAATCCATGATGAATGATTCCGAAAGTCTTTACTTAATGTAAAATTAAAAGAGTTATGTACACTTATAATGTCGATTACGATCTGAAACTTTTTCTGTATTCATAAATGTATTTTCAACTTGAATAGTATGGGTTTCAAGTTTTGAAACATTAATTTGCTGGAGAAGGGGCAATCAGCTCCAGTAATCGTACTTTTGTACGTATATATAAATATGGTTTAAAATCTATGGAAGAAATCAAAATAATAACCATTACATTAATGTTTTCTGTAGGAAGTGAAACCGACTTAAAATGATTAATAAATATTTTTTTCTTTGGAAAAAAAACATTTTCTAATTTTTAATTCGGGACATGAATTTATATTATAGCTTAATTAACTGACCTTGTCTAGTTTTAAACTCAAACAACTGAAATCACTCGTCGAAGTAAAAATTATGATTATTATTTGACAATTATTTGAAATCTTTTAAGAAAACTCTTCAATATTTGACAAATTCACTTCCTCAAACAACTTCAGTGGAGTTCTCTTTGACCGTTAAATTGTAATACAGGATGATACAAAGGTTTCCTGGGTTCAATTGCTGCTCCTTTTAATTTATTTTGTATTTTCATATCACTTATGCGGTAGACATTAAACCTAATACTTTTTACAAAATATATGTCTTAACGAAGATAATAATTTCCTCAATTTGATGAAACGTTCACTCAGAGAATATCCTAGGAAACAGTTTCGTCAAAAGAGAAGAAGTTTTGCTCAAAAAAGAAGAAATTTTAGTATCATTTTTTATACAGTGGAAACGATATTGGAGTATAAACAGCTGTACTTAGTCAGTTTTGAAGTCGCAGGCCAGTTTTGAACAACTAAGTTGAAGAAATGACATTAGAAATTACGATGACATGAATTATAATAAAATTAAAAACTAGTGCTTTGATACTAGTTAGTGTTAAAAATAAAACTAGATTACCATGATTTCAGAAATAGTGCTTTAAAACGCTCATGGTTTACGCGTTTTATTTTTAACATTAATATACTTAAGGAAAAACTTGTCTGAATAATTGTGTATCATGGATTGATGGTATTATTTAATCTCGTAGTTGCCGATTTAATTTTTTTTCACTGTATCTCGCACTATTTACGAGAAAAGAAAGATAATCGACTAGTTCATTTTCGTTTTCTTACCCCCTAACCACTATTTTTTCCATAAAAATTTAGGATAAAAAAAAAGATGTTAAAAAGGGTTCCAATCTTTAGTAATAACCGCTGTATCGGGGAATAATGAATTATTGTAGTCATGTTCACAATTTTGAAGAAGTTTTTAAATTTGTTAAAATTTCAAATTTGTCTCCACATCTGCTTTCTTCTGGCACAAGAAGTTAAAAACAGCGTTTGCCGTTCTCATTAACTATTAAAGGATAATAAATGAAATTTTTTAAAGAGTAAAAAAAAAAAAAGAAAAAAAAAAGACAGTTTTACTTGTTTTTCTTCTAATTCCTATGAAATATAGTGAATAAGACTAAATTGTAATAAAGGATGCGAAAGAAAATTAATATTAAAAAATTGCATTTATTTTTACGCAGTCATGATTGTAGCTTACGACACATAACTTTTCAAGCCCTTTAAATAATTGAAAACTAATAATTTCGAAACTAATAATTTCGAATCGATTTCAATAATTTTATTATCTTTAATCTTAGTGAACATTAAATTACAAATTAATACAAAATCTACCGAAAATTTCAGATTTTTTGAAATGCAAATCACGATTAAATGATAATAAACTCTTCACCCCCCCCCACAATATTTTACGTTATTCATCATAAACGAACTAAATAACATTCAATTTATTAATTTACACTGACAGCGATAACCTAATGGTATTGCAAAGATTTCTTATTAGAATTTAAGCTTTTTGTTTTTGATAATTGTTGAATTGAACCAACTTTCAAAAAAAAAAAAAAAAACACTTTAATGTTGATATTAGAATTTTTTTTCTTTTATGATTAATACATAAAAAATAAACAATACTATTTGAACAGGTGTTATGCGCACAATGTGCAAAATAAAAACGTAATACTTAAACGCCGTCCATCTGCTATTAACACGGTTACAGTTACATTAGGTTGAACCATGCTTATGGGTCCTTCTGTGAAATCACTTCAAGTTTACTAAGAGGCATTTTAAATTGAACGGTAATCATGGTGTAATCAATATGGTACTATTATCTGTGTTGGTATTATCCAGTAATTTTAACACCACAATTCAATATTCAAATATTTAAAATAATTGATTTTTAATATGATTTCTTGAAACTCAATGTTACCATATTGAAAATTGCAATAATCATCGAAATATAAACAGTGTTCCGATAAGACTTGCGCGTGGTGCAACTGTTGAGTAATATTTTTTTCTTTTGAAAGCAAACACTTAGAAAAATCATAAATGCAGCGGAAACGTTTTTAATTATTTATAATTTATTTCGATTAGTCTTTGTCGTAACTCGTAATCACGAAAATCTCTAGATTGCTCTCATGTTACCCGCAACGCCTTTGAAAGAGCGTCATCATGTCCCAGAGTTTGGGTTTCAAAATAAACCAAGTTACGAAGGGAGAAAAAGTGTAATAGCTATAATATATATTTATTCTATACGTTTTAATCTATAAGTCTGTAAACTTTATTCTATAAGTTTCTGTTTACAATTTAACTGATAGGTAGTGGCGTGATTTTTTAAACCTCATATAACTTGAAACTAATTGAACTAATTAAGAAACATTTGTGTGCTTAAGTATTTTAAAATACAAAACAACATTGCTCAACTTTTAATTCAGCGAAAGACGAAAATAACAAACTTATAATTTTTGCTTTTCACTCTGTTATTTTCACGTCTTTATACCTGAAGCTTACTTTTTTATGATACTTTAACTCACTTTTTATGATTTTAAAGGCAAAAAAAAGAAACGATTATTCATTTTTAATTGTACAATTAATTGACACATAAAACAACATTGAAGAATTCAATTTTTTCAAAATAACATTGACATTGAAGAATTCAATTGTTATTTTGAAAAATATTAATAATCTTTATTTCTTCTAATAAAAATCTATATACTCGGTCACTATATATTTCAGGAAATAAATAATGTTTTTAAAAATGCTCCTATACATTACAAATATTGAGAAAACTGCTGCAACACGATAAATTCCTGAGTTCTTTAGTGCTATTTATGGTGTTTTTTTCTGCTTTGAGTTTGATAAATTTTAAATTTGAATATTTTTTCTCTAGATCTAAAATGTGGTTTCCCCGGAACTCCAATGTATGGCTTTGTTTCTCCAAATGAAGCAGCTTATGAAGAAGGGGCTATAGTAATGTATTCTTGTCTTGTTGGGCATATTCTTTTAGGTTCTTCGATAAGTAGATGTAAAGGTGATGGCACGTGGTCTGAAGAGGTACCTGTTTGTGGTAAGAGCATATTGATTAATTAACAGATACAAATTAAAAATTGCATAATTCATTCAAATCAAGGTCCATAAAAGAAAACAAAAACCTTGAACCTAACTGATAATAAAAAATTTTCAATTAGAAGCGTGTATTCTTAATTGCGTAAATTTTATAATTTAGTTTATATCACAGAAGGGATAGTTAATTTTATTACCTTTTCTCAGATGACAGCATGACCACACTTGTGACCGCGTCCTCAACACCAACTGCTCCTGGTTATCCAGCGGAGCTTGCTATCGATAAAAATAAAGAAAGATGTACTTATTTGCAACCAAAGAGCCCGAGATGGTGGCGGATAGATCTTGGTGATAATAAGGAATATAAAGTTTTGTCTGTTGCAATAACAGTTATGAATACAGGTAATACACTGTTTCTATCATTGATATATATATATATATATATATATTGATNCAAAAAACTCGATAATTTTTACCGAAGAGAGCTTTGATAATAAGTTTCGTATAATTAACAATTAAATATGGTATTATAATGTGCGGCAAAATTTGGTAATTTCATCATGATACCGTAGAGCATGGAGTAAAAACCTTTCATTCGGTTAAATTTAATTTTCTGTTTTGAATTTTTTACTAAATGTGAGATAAAAAGAACTATCATTTTGAAAACCAGAATTTCCTATGACATGTAACCATATAAACAGAAAAATTACCAAAGAATGGTTTAAATAAATAAAAAATCAAAGATTTCACCAACATTTTTATCACCATATTACATTGTAAGAAATTACATCTACCTTTATTCTCTGGTCCGGAATTTTGCGAAATTTCGCCTGAAAGCTTGCCATCAAGAAGTGGTAATTAAATGAGGGAAAAAGGGCAGAACAGAAAAATTTGGGCACAATTTTACCTTAACAGTTGGAAGGTTATTAGCTAATAATTCGTCTTAACTTTTTAAAAACGAATAATTTACATTCACAAAATATGTCTTCATTTTGACACAAGTCAGAAAAACTCCGAGCAAACTCTTCTCCAAAGTGAAGAAATCACTCTCTTCATTTGCTTGCGTTACAAATTTTGTCAGAAACATAATACTACGTATCTATTTACTTAGATGATTAGGACATGAGTTCGCCGTCATCTATTAGAAATGAACATTGACTAGCTTGCACACCAACCACAGTTCCATGCCCTCAGCTAAAAAATTTTTACAAACAGAATGTTAGAGAAGAAACAGATAAAGAATGTAAGAGAAGTCACTGAGAGCATTGAGAGAGAGAGAAAGCAATTTCGTCAAATATTTCAGAGTATGTGCTACGTCAGATGTGACAGAATAGTCTTAAATAACGAATTATAGCTTTAAGTTTAGAGAAACTTTGAAGTTTTAATTTTAAGCGTTACGCTCCTATGACTAAATATCTCTCTTAATAATTCAAGGCTTTATATTTTGAACTGGTTTAAACGTTGAAGTAATAAATCATCACTATGGGTGTAAACTAAAAAAATAAATAATTTAAGTAAATAAATCATTTTAAAAAAGAAAATCATTGTCTTACATAAATATTTAATAATTTGATACCTACTTAGTTCTTATTGAAAAATTATATTATACAAAAGTATTATTTTCAGTGAATGACTGATTCCGGAATTCCTTTATTTTTTTTTTATTGATTGATGTATTTTACAAAAAATCACATTTGTGCTAAGATACTTGCATTAGCATTGACTTTTTTTTATTTTGTAAACTTCTTAAATAGTTATTAAAATATTTTTTTCAGATAAACATGTGAAGTTCTCAGTATTTGTTATTCAAATTCAAAACCAGATAGCTTCGTACAAAAGATGTGCCTCATTTAGTGGAAAATTTGGTATTGAGTCCTTTTATTATCTTACTTTCCATTTTTAAATAATCGTTTACAAATCTTCTGAATTTTAGACGAAATCTGTTTATCCACCTTCTTTGATCCAGAAAAAAACATTGAAATAAATTATTTACTAGCTATATTCTCAGTTTAAGAAAAATTTATCAGTTCAGAAGAAAATTTGTGGGTTTTAGAAATATGATTTTCATGTAATATAGATAAATCCGTTCGTGAAAAAAATCACTTAAAAATTAAAAATACAGTGCTTCTCAAAATTGATTATTTACTGTCATAGATCTAATTATATTAAGGAAATTACCATACTACGAGAAATGACCATTTTAGTATAATATGAAATAGAAATTAATGACAAAACAAGTTCAATAAAACAGGAAACTTGCAAAAATATAATACAGTAACAGTTTAACATTATCGTCGTTTACTATGAAAGTAGGGGAGAGTGGGGTCAATTGTAACAGTTTTTACTTAACTATTTTTAACTAACAAAAAATCTAATATATTATTAGTATTAATTGACAGACGNCTAACATTATCGTCGTTTACTATGAAAGTATACTATACCGTGTAACATTTTACCATAACTTTTACAATAATATTGATTTAATTACTGTGATTTAGTAAAATTTTACAGTAAATATTACCGTAAAAATTACGGTATAACAAATTTTTCGTTTTTTTTTTTGTTTATAATTTTTTGTTTACAATTCTACGATGAAAATAGATTTTACAGTGAAAAGTACCGACATCCTGAGTGCCGGTACTTTTTCCCGCTATTTCATCCAGAAATTTTTACAGTGCAGTTCAATACCTCTTAAAGGTTGCAGCAAGTTTGTACATTTTAAGGTATCAATATTATGGTTTAATGATTAATCCATTTTTCTTAGAGTTGCACTCATTAAATAAGAAGCTAAAATTCCTTAATTAAAATAATAATCTAAAATGTTCAAATAAAGTTTTATAATAAGAGTTTACTTTTAAAAACATTTCACCGTTTCGAGAAAGCAAATATTTGCTTAAATTATAATTATGTGCTTATAGTCATAAACTATGCTTAGATACAAAAAATAAAAGAAACTTGTGAATGAAAACCATAATAACTACGCTTTAAAAAGTATAGTCGATATATATATAGAGTTTGGAACACACAATTTTTTCAAAAGACTTATCTACATTTGTTTCATTCAGCACAATGTCATACTTGTAAAATTTTATTAGCTGCTTGTTGAACTGGTTCGAAATACAAATGCTTCGTCATCTATTTTAAACTTTATTAGTTCATCGAGATAGTTTGGTAATTTGATATATTTACGTTACACTAGAGCTGCACAATGAGCTATAGGCGACGTCCTGGGAAACATCCCTGTGGGTGATCCGAAGACATGCAATTTTGATCCTCTACAGAGGAGATGACACCCCTGATTTGGTAGCCCGGCAACCTGCGCTCGAAGTCGAGCACTTTACGGTAGAACAGATTAACGAGGACCGATACAGGGCACCCTCGGTCCCTACTACGGCTGATAAAAATGATCCCCTCCCGCTTACTGACCGCCGCCAGTGATGCAGAATGTTTACTCTAGTGTTGTAGCTCTAGAAAATGAACCTGAGTGTTCCGTAGTGATCACTTTTTACAAAATACGCTGCTTTTAGAAATGGACTGACAGTTGCGAAGTTGTTTTCCTTTCACCATGTTTTATGTTTCCCCGGATTCCAGAAAAATATATGTAGTATATAGGTAGCATCTATCGAATTACAATTTAAGTAACAGTAATAATATATTACACTTCATTCAGAGTATATATAAAAAAAATCAAATTAAATTTACATTAAAAGCTTTGAAAGGAACAGTTTCATTTTCAGTTCTAATTCTAAAAAACAATAATTATTTAAAAATTATATCACTATGTGAGAGAGTATTTCATATTATTGTTGGAAAACAATATGTAATATGAAAAACAAATTTGCGGTGACATTTAGATAGAAGGAAACATTGTTTAAAAAACGACATGTTAACACATATATGTATATTTTATATTTACACTACAGTTTCTTAAAACATCTTAAAAAATGAATTTTGATTTTCTTGGCAATATAATGTTGATTCAGTTATTTTAATTTTGAGTTTGTGCAACGTTAACGTAAATGTTTTGTTTATATAAATAAAGTAAACAGACATCAATATATTGCAATAGGTACTCAAACGATGGTGTTATTATGTGCAGAAGGAAAAGGTATAGACGGCCACCGAGTTCACATAGAAGATTACGATAAAGATGACAAAGGATATTTTGAAATATGTGAAGTTGAAATTCAAGTTAAAAAAGGTATTCATTAAAAATAGTTTACAAAAAATTTCTTAGACTTTTTAGGAATGAAATTATTCAAAAGAATTCTGCAATCACATAAGACTGATTTTTTTCTAGTTAATTGTTATTCATCTATCAAAAAAATGTATTTCTACTTATTTCTTTTACGATAATCAAATAAATTACTAAGAGGACATTTTTTGCTATTATAGTGGTTGTACAGGAGAAAATGCAAGCAAAAGCTGTTAAAAAGCTTTACAGATTTTTAACAGCTTATTCTGCACTAGAAAGGTGAAAATTTAAGCAAGTGGCAAAAGTATTAGCTAATATGGAAAAATATAATATGTCAATACAAGTTAGCTACTAGAATAGAGCCTACCGTGATAGCTCAGGGGATAGAGCCTACTCATTCCAATGAGGTGAGACCGGGTTTGAATCCCAGCAATGACAAGTCGATACGAATTCCGCATCCTGCTTGCACCGACCACAATGCTGACGTAAAATATCCTAAGTAGTAGACTGATCATGGGCTAGAGTCCCCTTGCCATTAGGCTAACCATGGGAGGGGATTTTCCTCTCCATGTAACGCAAATGCGGGTTAGTTCCCTCAGAAAGTCCTCTACGAAGACAAATTGCTACAAAGCAATTATAAGGCTACGGAGTTGAACATTGGTAGTTGTAAACTCAGAATTGAGTAGGCTGTTCAACGCCGTTTATAAAATACGATAATATACTGAAGAGCTTGTTACTACTATTTATTTTTAAATTTGCCTAATTATCATAAAAATTGCCCAAAATAGGACAAAGTTAAAAAAACGTTATTACAGTTTTATGAAACTTTACCAATTTTTTCACCAGTTGAATTCAGCCATTTTTACAATTTAGATGAGGGATACAAGTGTGGTGCACCAAGTAGAAGCTTATATTCAGTTGAAACTTACCGCAATGATGATATGGTGAGATATGGTTGCTTAAGAGGCTATAAACTTTCAGGAAAAGTTCGGAGAGAATGCACAGAAGAATCAGGACAATGGTCTGGGGAACCACCTATTTGTATACGTAAGTAAAATGCCAAAATTTCAATTTTCCTTGTAAAAAAAAAAACAATATCATTCACAAATGGTCTAATTAATTGCACTATCGACACTGTAGTTAATAACTTATATACTGTGCATGCTTTCTAAATGATATTTTTTCCTTCAAAAAATCATCTGTTTTTTTGTCACAATCAGAAACGCACTAAAAATAAGAGCAAAATACACTTTAAGAGCTTTGTTTCGAAACTCTTTTCAAAAATATATCGTTTATTTTATATTTCTTGCTTATTGTTTTTGTATACTATATATTTCTTTATTATTTAAAACGCAGTTTTTGATTTTTTTTCTGATTTCTTGCGAAATTAACAAAAAAGAAAAGTTTTAAGCTTATCATGCATACGAAAAACTTGATTAGAACTCTCAATAGTATACCCATAATTTTGAATTGTTTAAATTCAATGAATACCCTAACTTCAAAGTTATGAAACTTTGAAGTATCTTTTGGCGTTTTTGGAGTACCGATTTGTCTATTATTATCTATTGTTAAGTATTATCTTAAGTCATTATTTTCACGACAATAGTTGGATTTACTTGCACATTTTGCCTTCAAACTCATATTTTCGTCCAGTTGAAGGGATGCTTCATTTACTTCCGTTTTAAATTTAATTTGAAACTATTTTAGCCATTGTATGCGATCCGTTGGAGCCAATTGAAAACGGTGTTTCTAACATGGAGCATGGCAACCAGGGTGTTCCACTCGAAGGTGCACAGGTCTTGTACAACTGCAACTATGGCTATATGCTGGTTGGTAACGCAGATAGAACTTGTGAAGGAGATGGATCATGGAGAGGAAAACCACCTAAGTGTAAAAGTAATGCATTTTAAGTTTTTTAAATCATACACTGCAAACACTTTTAGTGTATTTTATCACAAAAATGGTGGCAACTACTTTGCACTGAAGTCGCGTAGAACTAAGGGGAGTTCACCAAACACCAATAATTTTCCTTACACTAATAGGTGTAAAGAAGTTGCCAACATTTTGGTATTTAATGACACAAATATTTATAATTACTGTAAGATAAAATACACACAACAGACATTAAGTTGTTTTAACGAGACAATATAAGATAAGAATCAATAATTTTGTATGCATAGAAATACTAATTATGAAAATAAAATTCGTTTGTAAATCAGACGTACGCGGTGCACAGAGAGAATCTTGAGACGAATTTGAACTAGGATTAATAGAGCAAAATAGGAAATATATATTATATATTTTAAAATTATTCTATACAGTTTACAGAGACTTGAAAATTAAATCCTTATTACCCAACTGAAAACGAACATACATATTCTAGCGGTTGACTTTAATTTCTGTAGATGAAGCACAACGAACTTCACACCAACTTAAAATCGATTGTAAACACGTATCAAAAGCACGCCAACATTGGAGCTTCTGACAGAGAAAATATTTAACGTATAGTGAGAAGGTGCGTGATTTTGGGTGTGGAATACTTACATTTTAGGAGCTTTCACACCCTCTTTAAATTGTATTTGAACTCTCGATTTGGTGTTAACTTAAAGAGAAGTTTTTCTTCAACAATTATTTGAGTTGTTCAACAAAAAATTCGGAGAGATATTACACCATAGTTTTTTCAGTGTACATTAACTTCATTTTTTTACTAATATTGATGTAGTAATTTTCTTAAATATTCTAACTTTTTTAATTTTAAGCACTTTCCAAATGGGCATGCATTATAGTGTCAGAAATACAGTAACGCCATAATTCAGGTTTAAAAGATTGGTATTATTTTAGTTATAACATGTCCTGCTGAAATTCCCTATGATGTTGGTGGTAAATGGAGATATCAAACTACTAGAGTAGGAAGTAATGCAACTTTAAGGTGTAGCAACGATAAATATGACGGAGAGAACCTTCAAATTGTATGCAAAAACGATGGCAAGTGGAGTGAACCGCAAGCCAAGTGCTTAATTCGTAAGCAACTTTTTATTTTTTTATCATAATTATTTCACTTAATGTCAAAATTTAGGAGCTTTTTGGTTTGTTTGAATAAGATGATGATATGGCAATAAATATTGAAAGACAAAACAGTTATGAAATTGTGCCTAGACGTTTTGTTTATTTATGTAAATAATCTCTTTAAATGAACTTCATGCGATGCTGAGTCTTTCAATATGTTTTGTACTATTTTGTCCCGCAATATAAACTTATTTTTTATAGTATTTGCTTAAAATTTTAAAAAGATAACTGCATGAAATTAGGAATACATGTATCTAAAAAAAAAAAACTTTTATATTTTTTCAGAAAATTAGGAATTTTCTCACTAATAAAAAATGCACATCAATAACGATTTTTTATCGGGTTTAATTTAATTCATTCAAAGTTTTCCCGATTCAATTTTATAATTTTGTAACCGTCGTTGAACAGCCAATCCAATTTTTGGGTTCACGACTACTAATGTTCAACTCCGTAGCCTTGCAATTTTGAGCCCAATCCAGAGGACAAGGGAACTCCTGGATCAAGTATTGGGAGAAATCAATTCAATTTCAAATTAACCAAAAGAAAAAAATCTCGTTGCCACCATATCAAACATTTAAAAAAAAATTGTGAAAAAGTACTTACTGAAAAAGGCCAAAAATAATTTTTTGGACCAAAACTAAAATGAGGGGGACATTTTGAAATATGACTCAAATTTTGAAAAAAAAATGGAGCAACAGGAGAAGGTGACTCTTATGTTTTTAACTGAAGAACTTTTTCGTTATTTATGAGTCAATTTTCCTTATTTTGCTATCATTAGAAAAAGAAAAGGGATAACACAGTAATAAAACTACTGAAATGCTGGAAATACATACATAAGTAATTGGCAATTTGCATTAAAATCATTTTTTGGAGACATTTGTTTATAAATTTTCGAAACTTTTTACAATGAAACTCACATTTTTTCACATAATGTTGCATCGAATACTTTTTGAGATAAAGAAGTCAAGAGGGTATTTTTTGTTTTGGATCATCAAATCGCTAATAAATAGCCATTAGCCGAAACATTTCAAGATTTAAAGATTTTTTTATAGTACAATAACAAAGTTCCTCGGTCTCATTTTTTTACTAATGGTAAAACATCATACATTTTAACATAAAAAGTTTTTGTGAGTTTTATTTCGTGTTATTAAAAATTTAAAAAACTGTTTTTAGCCAAATTATTTTAAATGCTTTTTATTGTGCAATAACAAATATTTTCACAAGAACCTACGATATGGCAATTTTCATATGCAGTACGACATTTTTGTTGTAATATAATTAAGGAATCAAAAGCACTTCTTTAATAGTTGTTAATTTTTTAAGATTTTGCGCCTAAATAACACTTTGAAGGATATTTCTAATTTTAAAAGCATTTTCAAATGCTTTACTATATTTTATATGCGATTTTTTTCAACAAAATCATTAAAATTATCCTACAATTATCCTAAAATTATTTTAGCGTACATGTGTAATATACTTCGCCTTTCAAATATTTATTATGAATATATTCTGTTGGCAGAAAATGAAATAAAAATCGTTTTTTTTAATGTTATTTCAGTAGGGTTTTTTCCTTTATTTCACTCCAATCCATATTTAACTTATTTTAATCTTTTAAACAATAAAACTACCTTAATTAAAAGCTTCTTTAATAAAACTTCTAAAACTTCTTTAATGAAGTTAAGCCTGCCAATTTCTTTAATAATAAAGCATTCCTATAACACAAAAAATTTTACTTATTTATCGTTTCGATATTTTTCATAACAAAACATTTCGATAAAATGAATTATTTTAATTTATTTTGCTTAATGAAATATTTTTATGAAATGAAACTTTTCGATTTCTTTTATAATAAAAAATTTTTCCTTCAAGAAACCACATAATTTCATTAAAGCATTTCTATAATATAAAGCATTTTAATTTTTTCAGATTTGAGTTTTCAAGTTTTCTTTTACCTTTTCAGCAATAGCTCTTGCAAAAAAGGAAATTACACCAAGAATTGTCAATCAAGGAGGTGAGTAAAATATTTATTTTCCCCTGAATATTTAATTCATTTTCAAGTTTTATAACTTAAATTAAGGCCTATGATATTAAAATATTAATTTCATTAAGCACAACCAAACATAGCACAATATTTTGAAAAACATTAAACCAATTCTTTTAACTTTTTGAAAAAAATAAGTGATTTTATAAACACTAAAATTAACATTTAAATCTTAATAAAGCTTTGTGTATGTCTATGAGTGTTTAGTGCAGCTGTTTATGCAACGCTTATGTTAAACTTCTATAAAAAATCAGAATCCTAAGGTCAATTTTAGATAAGCAGTAAAAAGTCGATAAAAGTTATGTAAAACGCAAAAAAATAATGAAAAAATGAAAATAAATAAATAAAATAAACTGAATACCAACCTGAACAACTTTTGATCTAAGGATCGGATCTTCACGTTCTAGGACTCAATTTTAATGGTTCGAGGGAGTGACGTCAAATATGCTAATAAGTTAGTGCAGATGATATTTTAAACTATGAAATCAGTGAAACTATGAGTGATTGAAAGTTTGAACCATTAATGTTAATTTTACCTTTTGCATATTTCGAGAACTTATTTTGCATATTTTGAAGGGAAGTGAAGAGCTTTGCACACAATTAGCAAATTCATTTATCCAAAGATAATTCCATTCAAAAAATTACTTTTAGTAAAAAATAATTATTTATAATTTTATTTAACAATTTTCGAATAAACTTTGAACTGTAAGGCTTATAAATTTTTACATCATTTGAATAAAACTTTGTGTATATCTATGAGTGTTTAGTGCAGTTGTTTATGCAACGCTTATGTTAAACTTCTGTAAAAAATCAGAATACTAGGGTCAATTTTAGATAAGTAGTAAAATGTCGATAAAAGTTATGCAAAATGCAAAAAAATAATGAAAAAATGAAAATAAATAAATAAAATAAACTGAATACCAACCTGAACAACTTTTGATCTAAGGATCGGATCTTCACGTTCTAGGACTCAATTTTAATGGTTCGAGGGAGTGACGTCAAATATGTTAATAAGTTAGTGAAGATGATATTTTAAACTATGAAATCAGTGAAACTATGAGTGATTGAAAGTTTGAACCATTAATGTTAATTTTACCTTTTGCATATTTCGAGAACTTATTTTGCATATTTTGAAGGGAAGTGAAGAGTTTTGCACACAATTATCAAATTCATTTATCCAAAGATAATTTCATTCAAAAAATTACTTTTAGTAAAAAAATTTTTTTATAATTTTACTTAAGAATTTTCAAAAAAACTTTGAACTGTAAGGCACATAAATTTTTACATCATTTTAAAGAACACAATTTTAAAGAATAAAATACAAAATCCAAGTGAAATCTATCCTATCATATAGTTCTTGAGAAATCGAATATAAAAATATGTCTTCTTTTAAATTTAATTTCTCAGGAACTATTCCTTCACTTCACTCAAATTTCTTATTTTACGCTTAATATTGCATTCTTCAAAATGATGTAAAAAATTATATACTTTACAACTCAATTTTTTTTTCTGCTATTATTAAGTAAAATAATAATTATTTACTAAAAGTTATTTTTGCATGGAATTAATAAAAGAATTTCATAAATGTAAACAACAAATTTTCATTTAGCTTAAAAAGTTCTCGAGATATGGAGAAGTACACAAAAAGCAAGATTAACATTAATAGTTCCAAACTTTGGTTTGCTCTCCTGACTAAATTATTAGGACACTAGGACACCATATTTCTCTGATGGCGGCTAACCTCTCTGTCTCTATATCTATCTATCGATATATGTATATATGTATATATATATATATNTAAATAGATATATATGTGTGTGTGTATATAATTTTTTTTTACCAGATTATACCAGCTTGTATTTCTAAATTTTTTCCATTATATGAACTTAAAGAATTTTCAGATTATTTCTGATTCAATTATAATTACTTTCCTTTTTATAAATAGAATCTGCAATATTTAATTGCCTCTTATTGTAACGAAATTTTTAAACAGTATAAAGCTAGCTACTTAATATCGGCTTTAGTATTTAATCTTTGCCGCTACTCATGTTTAGAAGAGTGAAATCATCAAATAAATCACGAAATTTTCAATTTCTGTCAGTGAGAAACTCAAAGTCATGTTGTCCAGATATTTCTCTGTTAATCATTTCAGAAATTATTCGGTGTACAAGTACAATAAGTAGCAAAATCCAATATTCTGAATCCAACTCACCTAATAAATTCAATTATTCAAAGTAATAAGTTAATTGTTAATTATTCATACTAAAAGCATGCTTAAAAATAATTATTTAAGCCTTTTGTGCAATTATTGCGAAAATCAATTGATCTGAATAAACTAAATTTATGTAAGCAAGAACTTTAGAAGAAATTAATTTCAATATATTTTCTTATCTAGGTGTTATCTTTGGAATGGTAGTAGCTGCTATAATGATTGTTGTTGTCTTAGTTGGAGTCTATTTATACGATCAACGAAGGTGAACTACAAATTACAGTTCTTCAATTACACTTAAACAGTATACAGGCTAAGAAAAGCCTCGCACATTAACGTTTGGCTTTGGTGGTTTTAAAAGGCACCAGTCTAAGAATTTAATTGAACATAAAGTGACCTTTAATTGAGTATAAAGTATCCGTAAAGTATCAATAAGTAAAAATCTTTATTTTCAGTTTTAGCAGATTAATTTTAGATGTTAACGGAAAATGTTCGAAATATTGCCCTCTTTCATGCGTGTTTCCATAGTCCAAATTTTACCAAATTTGGGACTAAGGGTGTTACAATAAATGTTATAAATGCAATATTTCTTGCTGAAATTGGAAATAATACTTTACCTACACTATTTGTTCCTTGCCTTCTCACATTTTTCTTCCAATTTTTGACGGATAACTTTCTTTTGATTTCTCTCCATTTTTCCTCAACAAAAATGGAGAAGCTACTTGCTGACAAGAAAGTTAACTACTGATCCAGTTGCTTTAAAATGGTGATCTGATCATGTCATGGTCGAGTAACTGAGTACTAGTGCTTCAAAACATTTATTATGGAACTCTTAAATGGCCCGGGAATGTGACTCTTGAATAAAATTAACGCCTCATTCTTTATTATCTTCTGTATATGTTAAAGCAAAGTTTCACCGCCTTGATCAAAAAACGCTTCATAAATGATTTTATTACAGGGCAATATTAACGATCACCACTGGATGGCTAAATATAACAAATGGAGAATAAAAATTATCTGCCAGTCGCAAATTGATAGCTAATTTTTATATTTAAAATGCACACCATGTGCATTTTATTGTATCGTTATTTTTATAAAAATAAATTTGGAATTTTTAAGAAAATTTTACAATACTTTGAAAATTAGTTTATGTCACGCTTTTTTTATCAAAATATTTCTTCATTTTAAAAATGTACAATGTTTTAAGACATGATTCAAAAGAATTGCCTTACATTATTAATAATAACAGATCTTTTTATCGTTAAAAATTTAAATTTTTTAAAGAGTGGCCACATATCTAAAAAAGTGGCACAGTTAAAAATGCTATAACTGGCCAGTAGCAAATTTTCCTAATTATGCCCTATAGATGTCAAAATCGACCATAGTGATTGTTATATATTTGCAACAAACTGCATTACCTGTAGGAAATCAAAATTCAATGCTTTTTCACTGAATTATGGGTTTTTGGTGTGCGTGACTTTAAACTTACACTGTATGAGGGTTGTCCAAATGAAAAATAAACAAGTGTGGCAGCCTCAGAATACAGTAAAGATAGTGGCACAACCATTCAGGGTTATTAAGTACTGTAAATGCACCATACGCTAAGTATGCTTGATTAACCATTTCACATGCTTAAAGTCAATGTAAATGTATGCTTAGAATGTTTTGTCCAGAACAGAAAATGTTTACTGAAGCAATTTTTCGTATAAAAAGACCGTTTCTTTAAGCAGTCAAAGTGCTCCACAAACATAACGAGTCGTAAAACTTCGAATACCACGAATCATAACCAGCAAAACATTCATTGGCGTTTGCTTTCCTTGAGTCTCGGCTTATTCGAAGTTGATATGCGCTGCTTACAATAAAAACACCATTAAAAGTTGTTTATTATTGACAGTGTTCGTCATAAACAGCTACCATTCGAAGATAAACACATGTATTATGTTCACCTTCTGCCACTAAAAATCACCTCACTGTACGTTGTAACTTTACATTCATGTTAAATACACTCGTGTAAGCTGGTTAATTACACGCAATTTGTGGTGCACTCCTCTAACTTTTATTTATAACCCTAAAGGGTGTCGTTGCTATATCACTACAGCATTTCTAATGTTACAACGCATGTTTTCTTTCATTTAGGCCAGGGATGGCGAACCAATGGCACGCGTGCCATTTATGGCACGCAACACAATATCTTGGGCACTCCACCGATCACAATTATTGTTATGCTATGAATTGTTATTACACAAATGTTATTACGCTTATGTAACAATTAAATTAAAATTCACAAAAACAAACAAAGTAATAAAAAATTATTGATAAAAAATTAAAAATTAATACTAAAAAAACAATTAATAACCGTAAAAAACAAGCTAACAATAAATAACTAGAAAAAAAATCAACAGTCCTGCTTAAACTAACATCTTACAACCTAATATAAGTTATTGGTCATCTAATCTGCAACAACAGAAGTCACTCTGATGTTACTTTAAGTTGAATTACGTGTATAACTGAGACATTGCAAAATGTTTTTTTTTCAATGTAAATAAAGAGTTTTGAATTGATAGTATTTAGTATTATTATTTTCCCAATAATCACGATGTCAAATTTATTTGACGGCACGTCTATGACCTCATTAAGCAATTTTTTAGAAAAAATGGCACGTTGGTGTATAAAGGTTCGCCACCCCTGATTTAGGCAATCCTTATACAATCTCATGCAATGAAAAATTATGCTACGAATCAATATCTTTTTTTAATTTTTTCTAATTCAAGGCGAAACAATAAGCCTGAACTTCCCAGCCGATTTCAAGAGCCGCCTCTTCCACCACCTAGACCACCTCCTAGAGCCAAAGAAAATGCTTTTAAGTCAGCCTTCAAGGGATTTTTGAATAGAGATAATCCTGATTCAAGCAAAAGTTCTTGGAAGACTCAAAGTTTACCATCCAATCAAGCTCCTGCTGATGAAACAGAGTCCATGCTAAATTCCAAAAAAGCTTTTTCATACGGCGAATCTCTACCTAGTGGTGAAAATGAAGAATCACCAGCTTTAGTGGAGGTTGAAGTCTTACCACCCCAGCCACCCCATCGTTCCGGACGAAAAGGTGTTATAACCCCTGTTCCAGAAGAATCTGAAAATACAACTGTTGATGATATCGTTATTGAAATGGATGAAGCAGATAGCAATAAAGGTATACTTAAGAAAAAATATTATTTCCAAAACATCTTAAGGTGGAATCAACTGAACTGAATTCAACTAATTGCATAGAAATGCATTAAACTGAACTGATTTCAATTAATAGAACTTTTTTTAATCAAATTTTTTCATTTTGCTATTTTTCTCATTTTTATCTCTAGTGTGTTTATTTATTTTTCATTAAAAGTTAAGTTTTAAATCCTGAGTTTTATCTTTATCTTTGGTGAGAAGTCCACTCTAAAAATAGAACACACAAAATTTCTCGTCAAAAATAAGTGGCGACCCAGATTATATCAAATTTGCAGAATGCGTAAGTAATCGGAATTCTGTATTTCTCGGATTTTCAGATTTGATAAGTTTTATGGCGATTGTCTGCTATCTTGCATCCTGAAAAGAATGATTACTATTGGATTTAGAATTATCTATTTGAGAGGAAATGTATATTTTTTCAACTAATTGCTTTAAGTTCAGTTCAGTTGATTGATCTCAATCTATTGACCATTTTTTTTGAAGGAATACCGTTTTTGAAAAAAGTACAAACTTGGTACATGTATTTTCATGCTATTTTAATTTTGGTGAATTTGAAGATACGTTAGATGCAATCTTAAATTAATTGAAAATAACCAGACCTTCAGAGATAAATTAGTGATTAGCATAATCAGTTTTATAAATAAAAGTAAATCCAATGGACTATAGAAATATAGCAAAAACATTTGGTAACGCAACTGGCTTTTCAAATTAGTCACATGTTGTTAGAACACATAGTGTCACGTTTTTTATACAGGCAACTTTATAAAAAAAGAAACATTTGTTTTTCTTGATCTATTTTTAAATAGTGAGAATGTAAACAAATTTCTTTGTTGGATTATCTTAGTTGGAAATTTTTCGCAAATATATTATTTGTCTTATATTCAATCATATTACAGCAACATTATGAATGCATAACAATTTTTTTTTGAATGGCAGGCACTGAACTTTATTCGTTTCGACTTAGAAGATGCCAGAGGCGTTACTCATTTCGCGTTACCCAGTGGGCACCTGTGAACCAAAGTCACGGAGGCGAGTAGCATTGCTCACGCCACATTGCCACAAACCCGTTCATAGGGTGGGCCACATTCACACATCACACACAATAGACAGCACAAGAGAGAGAAACATCCATGCCCAGAGCGGGATTCGAACCCTCTGCCATTGGCTTCGTAGTCAGGCTCGCTAACCGCTCGGCCACCTGGCCGTGAATGCATATCAAAATACAATAATAACAAGTACATTAAATATCTTAAAAATAGAATATAAAAAAAGCTTAATGTTTTAAAAATATTTTTTTCAATAAACTTCTATTTTGTCAAATGTTTACCTACAGTATTCATACTGCTTTTGAATGCATATATCTTTAATTAATTTCCACATAATAACATTAATAATTTTTAAACGTTATCCACAAGTATGTGTATTTTAGATGCTGGCAAATGGGTAAAAATACTTATTAAAGTAGATAGTAAAAAAGCAACAATATTCGCATACATATATAAACTTTAAAAAGAATATACGAATATACACATTAAAAAAAAGAGAACCTTCTTATGTTATTAAAAAAAAATCTTTTTCATTTGATTTCATAAAGATATACTCTCAGAGGTTAATAAGTGTGCTATTCAAAATATCTCTGTCCTCGTTAATATTTTTTTTCGCTATTTTGAAACTATTTTTATTACAATCGTACAATAAAACTCTTTAATACATAGTGTGCTAGTTTACAATACTTTGTACTCTTCTATCCTGCAGAAGGCTCTCTTCGATTCAGAAATACCACTATAATTTCATATACCGTTGAGGAAAAATCTCAACAGTTTTTTTATTATTGCACAACTGCAGTTTAAAATATAAACTTTAAGGTTTCATCAAATCCGTACATTCTGTAAAAACTAAAAATAGTTATACTACTGGGAAAATTTAAATTAATTAAAAATATTTATACTTTCCTAATGAGTGATTTCATGTCAGGACTGATAGGAGTTATAGTATTGAACAGGTATTTTTACGAACATGAATAAAATTATTTTCATGTATTTACGTACATTTGGTACTAAAATATTCTCGTTTAAGATGCATATTTAAAAATTTTTTTTGATAAATATATGATTTATAAAAATGTGCGATAAATGTGATTCTGCATTAGTCGATTTTAAGTTCATAATTAATCTTTTTAATGATTTTATTTAAAATAAAAATTCGAAATTTATATTGAGTAAGAAAACTTATGAATGAACTCAGATGAGGTCATTCGCTGATCTAGTTTTTAAACAACTTCTCACTGCAGTCTCAGCCATTGACTGCAAATATCTGTCACTTTGAAATGTTCAACGACTGCTTTTTCCTTTTCTATATACCATTTGGAATATTCATTGACCAAAATTAAACGAAATGGGAAAGAACTGTTTAAACTGCCATTTATAATGTTATTTATCTCAAAAGTAGCTTTAGTATGCACTAGACCTTTCATTTCTTGATTTTAACTTAAACAGCAATGTATTTAATTATTACTACTTTCAATTTGTAGACTCTTCTGCAAAGGACAACGTAAGTGATTATGCTGCAGTTGATTATGAGAAAAAAAGACAATCTCGGCTTTTAAAAGAGCAAGATTCATTAGAATCAGCAAGTCCTCTTCCTTTGGACGACAGTGACAAGAAAGAACCTTCTCGTTCTTCAACTCCTGCAAACAATTTAAAGGAAAGCGATGAAGAAGAGGAAGAAGAAGAAGAAAGTGAAGACAGTCAACACACTGAATCTCAAAAGGAAAGAGAAGAACAAGAGAGAAAAGCAAAGGAGGAAGAAGAAAGAAAAGCCAAAGAAGAGGAAGAAAGAAAAGCGAAAGAGGAAGCAGAGCGAAAAGCGAAAGAAGAAGAGGAAAAGAAAGAGGAAGCTCGTTCTCGTAGAAGAAGAACTCGAGATGAACCACCTCCTGTAGTTGAAGAAAGACCTGTTTTACGTAGGGTGCGAAAGTATTAACAATTAAAGTTGAAATTTAATTAAAGGAAAAGACACGTTAAGGAGTTTCCCGTTTGCTCTTAATGATAAAAACATTGCGAAGATTGATACATATTGTATCGTAATTTGTTTTGAAGGGAAAAAATGATTACAACTTTGGCATTCCTTTTGAAGACCATCCCAATCTTTCTAACGATAATGTCTATTGAAATCAGTATAACCATTACAGTGTTGAAAAAATCCATGTTATTTTGTAATTTATAATGTATTAATTTATAATGTACCAATGTAATGTAATTTATAATGTACTAATTTATAATGAGTTGTGTTTTAAACAAAATAGAAATTTGAATACACAACATGTAATATTTCATAATTAAAAGAAGACAAACCTTTATTGTGTTCAAGTACTGAATGATAATAAATATCATTTAAATGCTTGTTTCAAGTTAATTTTTTTTAAATCTTTTCAATATAAAAACGTAATTGAAAACTTCTTTGCAAGCTCACTAGAGATTAATATAAAAAAATTGAGCATTATTTTGATAACCATATTTCATTGATTGAAAACAATATTTAAAAAAACAAATAGTAAAACCAAAAACCCTAAATGAGTATCACATTAGCACGCTTTCATCAGGTGACAAATGTAACACCAAGACACATTAAAATTTTCTACAATTTTACTATTCGAGATTTTAAATGTTTTTGGGCTTTTTCAAGAATTAACTTTTGCAAATTTAACGATTTAGTTAATATTATTTGTATATAAATATAGCCTGCTTTTTTATTACAATATCTCGCTAAAGATTAAAATTGCAATATGAATGCACAACAACTATTCTACTTATCTATATAAACTTTAAATGTCATTCATAAAATTTACTTATGAAAATTTTTTAACAGCTCCATGTTGAATTACAAACTTTTTTTTAAACGTTTTTACACAATAAAAGTCTCATATACAACTAGTAATTTTTATAATTAGATATCACATTTTCCTTATTTCTACAAACATTTGTTTTATAAAAAAATGATGTGGAATTCTACACACGTTATATAAAAGTGTTTTTGAGGCTGATTGCAATTTTTCTGACTTATAAGTATCCATACATATTGTAAAGTCATTGCGATAATTGTGCTTGAAAATAAAATTTATGCTGCACTTGCTTCGTTATTTATTATACACAATTCATACAGATATATTTAAATTGCTTCTATTACAGAAAATTTTTAAAAATACACTCATTGCTGTAAAAATTAGCGCATTTATAACTGCATAGGCATGATTGACAGTCACCCACCGTTGCCTCTATTTGGAGTGGTGTCACTCTCCATGGGATTAGAATGCAACTGGATGGAATCTCAGGTCGTCTTCAGGTATGAATGCAGATTTAATTTGAGCTATGATGACCATCGAGTACGAGTGTGGGGACCCCGTGGTGACTTCTATCCTGCTTACGCTGTACAGCAGCACACCGCTTCTACAGCTGGTGTTTATGACGTGCCATATACCATTCATGATCACACTTAATATTGATCCAAGGTACCATGACAGCCCCAATGGTACGTTTGTGATATCCTTCAGTCAGATGTGTTGCCATTCATGAAAAGAATCTGAGGACCCTCGACATTGCTCAGCACCACACAGCAAATGTGTCACAGTAATGTCTAAGAAGGCCAGGAAACCACCCTTTCCTGGCTTTCTTAGTCCCCACCAGGGACTAATATAGGGGCCTTTATATCTATGGTCCCCACATTTTATCTGGGACCACTTGAGATGGAAAGCCTTCAACTTGGCACCCCCCTCCTAGCCATAACAGTTAGTCAATTTCGCCATGTTTTTGCAGCAACTGTGAAACAAGTTGCCGCAGGACATCATAAGGGACTTGTCTGTCTTAACGCCCGACACATCCTGCATTCGCGCTAGTGGTGACACGCAAGGATACTAAAACCTCCATGCATTTGTAATTTTTTCCTGAAATAAATGATCAATTTGCTTTGGTTTTTTGATCACTTACTTATATCCACGTTGTACTTACGTATGTAAAATTATTTCGTTTCATTCTGACAACTCTCGTTCAATTTTATGACAATGAGCGTAAATATATATTTGCCTAATATTGTCAGTATTCTGATATAATTTGCAAGCTATAATAAAGAGGTTGATAAAAATTATGACTCTCAATTATATACTAATCATTGATAGGGTTTTATAACTTTAAAGTAACTGAAGTTATAAATTTAAGTATTAAATTGTCAGTTTAAAAAATTCCGAAAATTTTAATTTTTGAACTCAGTTTTAAATTGTATGGTATACATCATTTTGAACTATATTATCTTATATGCTTTTTTACATGATGGTTCTTAAATGACAAAATACAAAGTATGAACGAAATGGGTTGAGCAACTTATGAGTTACAAAATTTAAAAAAATAAGTGTTTTTCTCATATTTTAAATTTTTTTATATTTCAACAACTATTTGACCGTTCACCTTTCCTATTTTGTCATATTGTTTAAAATGGTATGAAAAATTTTCATAACTTAAAACTCAAAAATTGATAACATACAATAATAATTTTTTTTTATATTTATTTTTAATTTTTTTTTATATAGAACTGTCTTTGGATAAATAAGTTTTATGAATGTGTGAAAAAGTTTTGATTTTCTTAAGAAGTTCTGGAGATATGGGGAAATACGCGAAAAATGAAATAAACATTAAGGGAGCAAAAACACTTTCTACCACTCTCTTACATAAACTATTTTTTTTAGAATACAACTGCCTCCCCATCTTATTTTGATTTGCAAAAAAACTGAATTTGAAACATTATTCATATAAAAAAAGGCAATTGAGATGAAACATATTAATCTTTATCGAAAAAAATTAAATTTTTTTTTACCTAATCACTAGTTAGCACTAATAGTACTAGCATATAAGAAGAGATCTTTCGAACCATAAAAACTGCAAAATATGATCATTAAAAGAAAGTTTTTCCTAAAGATTGTTTTGGGGAGCAGGTTATAGCGTAAAGAAAGGACCACCTGAATAACTTTTGATTTAATGATCAGATTTTCACACTTTAGGACTCAATCTTAATGGCTCGAGGGGGGGGGGATCTCAAACATTCTAATTAATAAGTGTAAGCGATATTTCAAGTTACGAAATCAGACACAAAAACGTACTTTCTTTGAATAAACATTTTTCCCCCGACGGATTCAGATTTCTGACCTCCAAAATATGGGAGGTAGCCGCAATCTAGGAAATATGGTCTAGTTTAGTCGGGAGTGGGCTCCAAAGGTTGGACCCCTTAATGCTAATTTTACTTTTTGCGTATTTCCCCATATCTCGAGAACTTTTTAAGCGAATTGAAATTTTTTTACACACAATCGTAAAATTCATTTATCCAAAGATAATTCATTGAAAAAAGTAACTTTGAGTAAATATTTATTCTTTTATTTAAGGATGGTCCAAACAGTTTTTAGTTGTAAGGTATAAAAATTTTTTGCATAATGTTAGAGAATGTAATTTTGTATAGCAAAATACAAAATTCGGGCAAAATCGGTAGAATAATTCCTCCGAAATCGAATTTTAAGTATCTGACTTATTTCAAACTCAATTTCGGAGAAACTACTCGACGTTAAACATTTGGAATGAGAAGTTCTGAAGTAAAAAATAATTATTTTAGTCTTTTTTAATGGGTGTATAATTTTAGGTTTTCTTTCCTTTAATATTTATAGAAACACTAACTCTAAAAGAATAATGAATAAATGTTAAAGTATCTAATGATTAAAATAAGATTTTTTAAAATTTTTATTTTTCTAGCAGCAGTTAATTTCTAGCAGCAGTACTTGATGTGTACTTCATTCGCTGGAGTGTAAAAACACTCCGCACAGACATATAAGGATTAACAACAAATAAAAGAAAATTTAAAAGCATTAAAGCATTTGAATTACAAAAGCAATTAGAACAACGAAACATTAAATAGAATATTGCATATAGAAGTATAAACAGAAAATCAGTCAGTTGCCTGCAACTGTTCCCTAGCATTCCACTATCTGTCATAGGTGTTGCCAGTAATTGAGGCAACATCTATGATGCGGCATGGCAGATAAGTTTTAACACCCAAAAAAATACTCATTTTGACCCGATCTACATCATTTAGAACAATGTCAAAAAGATTGAAAAAACTGCTCTGAAGCGACAAATAATTGATTTTTAAAAAATGAAGAGTTGAATTAAAAACACTTAATGATTAAGATAAGATTATTTTGCAAGTGCTAAAATGAACTATATTAATGAAATCTATTTTAATAAAAGTATTATATGTTAAACTGATTAAAAGAGAAGCTCTGAAAGGACAAATAATTTAATTTTTTATTTTATATTTTATTTTATTAGTGACACATTAAAAAATTTATGGAAATTTTTGCGGTTTCCTTTCATTACTATAGACGAGAGAACATCAATTATAAGAAGAAATAAGTGAAAAATGTAGATTAAGAAAAATTTAGAGTTTTTTTAAAAATATAACTAGAAAAAGTGAAAGTTAAAAAAAAAGTTACTTTGCATGCTACTAATGCATTTACAAGAAATAAAAAAACAGCATTATCTTTAATTTAATGTATAAGTAAAGAACTATTTCTTGAATTTAATGCACATTTCATTTAATCATAAATATTCTCATTATTTAATCTTAACATCATTTTTGGTTATCTTTATAAAATTATTGCATTCCAAAAAAAAAAGATGCTTTTTCGAGCATGTTTTGTAACTCTTACAATAGCGTTACTTCTAAATATTTCGATATAATAATGTTTCTCCATTTTTAAGTGAGTTTTTTTCACACATCCGAAATATTTCACAATTTTATTCGGTTTATATAAGAAGACTTTCACAGGAAGGAAATTAGAAGCAGAAAACGTTCCATTAATATCACCAAATATGCAATGAAAGCAACTATTTATTTAAAAGTATTTATTATAAAAGAATTGAATTAAAATTTTCAGCACAACTGAAAAAAATTAGAAAGAATGAAAAATGATGATGATGTTACAAAATTTTCTTTTATAACTAACGATATTTTTACTTAAACTTGAAACTAAACTTGTAAAGCAAAATCTAACGAATGAGAAACTAAACCACTGATATTTTACGTGCTGTTACGTGTAACAAAAATATATATTTGAATCCATCGAAAGAAAAATAATTTTTTTTTTTGGTAAAATACATTTTTGTGTCTGATTTCGTAACTTAGACTATCGTCTATTAATTATCGTATTGATAATCTACCTTTTCAACTATTAAAGCTGCAAGTTAATACGTGCAAATCTGATCATTAGTTCAAAAGTTTTTCAAGAGTACCGTTTCATGAGTTCTGTCATAAAACTTTGAATTTTTAGGCGTAAAAGTTCCATATTCAAAGTTAAAAATTTTAAATTGGGTATTATCTAATTTTGTAAGTTTCCTGTATGTTTGTTAGTAATGTCAAGTACTGTAGTACCATATACAATAGCACGAAATTTTATAAACGTTACATCTCAGGTGACTGGATGCGTTCAGATGTATAAAAAGATAGTAATTAAAAAAATTAAAAAAGTACACAATTTAAAATTTTTAAATTGTGTGTACATTTCTGATTCAAAATTATTTCCTTAACGTGTTTTATAATATATTTTTAATGATATTTCATTTTATAAATAAAATTTTAATAATGTACTCACAGTAAAAATTTGTACAACATTTGAGGAAATTAACTTGTTAACGCGATAACATTAGAAAGAATACTACGCTTGCGATTATGCTATATGCACAGTTAAAAAAAGAATAAAAAGAATAGCAACATGATACATTTTTATCGATAAATTTTCATTATTAGTTTGCATTTTAAAATTTCAAATTATTTTTGTTCTGAAATAGGTGTTTCATAATAAGTTTTTGTTCAGAATAGTAAGTTTTCAAGCAAGTGTCTGTTTTTAAAGTCTAATCTAATCTTCTTTTGCCCTCTTTTGAATATCAAGTTCAGCTTTTGTTTATTTATTTGGAAAAGGAAGAGTACGTAGAAACATTTAATTAGAACGAGCTCAGACTTAAAGATATGAAACAAGTAACTTAGAAACCTAATTGCAAAGTTACAAATTTCAGAAAGAAGCGTGAGCATTTTTTAAATTTGCATGTTTACAATTATGTCTCTTAAAAATTTATAAATTTATAAATATTCAAAACATTAAAAAATATAAAATTTCCGATTTCGAATTTTACAACTGTTGGAAAAAATGTTGTTTCAGCCAACCTTTGAATCATTAACTGTCGAATCATCGAAATTGAATCATTAACAGAGAATTTGACCTTGAATATTTATAAAAACTGTTAAAAAAATATTTGATAAGGGATGGAAAATTTTGTTGAGAATTTTTATAAAAAAATTTGCTCTGCGAAGTACAGTTAAAAAAATGTATTTTAAAATGTGTTGGGAAATTTAAGAAATACCATAGATACTTTGTTAGTTTGTTGCATAAACCTTTCATTTACAAGATGTAATTAAGGAATATTAAAGCTCTCTCCATATTCTAAATTTTATTTCGAAAAAAAGTACTTCCCTGCTGCTCAGAATAAATGTAATAATTCTAAATCAACGCTTGGAAAATAAAAAGTTAAATAATAATAAAAAGTAGGTAATATTTGGCATTATGTATAAAACGATATGTTTCGCTTCCTGTATGTTTCGCTTTAAAATAAATAAGAGCAAAAAATTTGCCATAATTGCACTTTTCTTTGATAAGAGCTCTTTTTGACAGAACACAATCGCATTATTATTTCTTTAATTTGATTTGTTAAAGAACATTCGTCTTTTTCATTACGAATCCTTGTTCCAGGGATTTGAGATAAAAATCTTTAAAAAAAAAGAAAAAAAAAGTCAAACAAAAGCTTTATTTTCATATTATTCTTTCTTAGAATATCTGTGGGAAGGAAAACTTATTTCCGTGCATCGTTATCGGTGTAGGAAGAAGGCATGTTGAAATCGAAACCACACGAAGTTAAAAAAGAGTAGAACTGTTTTCTTGTGAGAGAGGGAACACAAATTTTAATGTTTCAGAACTTCTGTGGACAAGACTCTCTCAAGTTGAGTAAAAGAAAAACATCTTTTTGCAGATAGCGTAAACGAGACTAAAAACATTAGAGAAGAACTGGGGTGCTTTTGGCGAATCTCCAACTGAATCTCTTCTCTAGTTCTTCACTTAAAACAACTTGATAGACTAGTTGAAAGAGCGGCATGTAACGTCTTATCTTTAATTACTCATGGATCGCCAAACGTATAGCGCGAAAATTGTTTTTCTCTTGACTTGCGCATGTCTGCACTTGTGTTTTAGCTCTGTTATTAATATTGAAGATAATGGTTATAAAGGCATTGTTGTTGCAATTCACAAAAATGTTCCAGAGGATGAAGAGTTGATAGAAAATATAAAGGTAAATTTCATATTTAATTATTTATTATAATATTCCTACGCCTTTTTAACAAATTAAATTTCGTCATTTTTAATTATTTAGATCCAAATATAAACAAATAATTATTCTAATAATATGGAAATTTACATTTACTTTGAGATCACGTAATTTTATCTATTCAATCAAAAAGTTCTAAATACTTATGGATTAAAATGTTTTTGGATTAAAATTCATAAGTTTGGATTTTAATCCAAAATTATTTTTATTTTTCAAAATTATATCAATAGTGTAAAATTGTTTTGAAATCCTATTTTCCAATAAATTCCTTTATTCATAATAAGTATTTGCATTCAAGTATTGCATTCAAGTATTGACAAATTATAAATAACACTTAAATAATATATAATAATAGTCAAAAAGTCAAACTGGTTGATTATGGTTTGATGTATATCAAAACGATTATGGATTATAACTAACTTATGTTTTTAAATTGTTTAACTTCATCACAATTAAATTTAAACATGAAAATATGACAGGTTTGTAAATCTTTGTATCACGCACAGTAGGTTGCAGTTAAAATAAAGAATACGAAATTTTAAAGTAATTTTTTAAGCAATTATCTTGTTTCCGTCTCTTAATAAGTATTTCTGAAAATAACTTGTTTCTTTCAGAAAATATTTGAACTTAAATTATCATATTTTAAAAATGCACATTTAAAACATTATGTTTTCACTGACATTAAAAACAAAAACGTATTGAATATGAATTATGTGAAAACAATTAGCAAGTTTTTGAATGAATTAAGCCAAATTAAAGGACTTTGAGATAAAATTTTTAAATTTATTTTTAAAAAGGACGGTAATTCGGAATTGTTTGAAGTATTTTAAAACTTCTTACAAAAATACTTCACGAATAAAAGTAATATTTTTAGAAAGTAATAATATTTTTAAAATTAATATTTTTATTTTTGAGATAACTTAAAACAATATGCCTTATTAACAAATATCTATAATTATTAAGCCATACAATAATTTTTAAAGTCATACATCATCTTTAAATTTAGATACAAACCTAAATTTTCACTAATTGAAACACAACTAATAGCATAATTTTTTAACTGTAAAGAAAAGTTTTAAAACATGTAATTTTAGAATTGAAATTAAAAAAGCTAAAATTCATTAGTTTTGGCTCAAGTTTTTGAGAAATTGATGCTGAATTTTTATTATAAAAAAGGCACATCACTATGAAAATTAAATCTGAGTAAAATCTTTTAACAATTTCTCTCAACATTTTTGCAATCATAAAACGGACCTTGATGCTTTTGATTTCTTCTTCAACACGGTAATAATTCATCAAATTTTCTTGACATTTTTGCTCTTTCTTATCATAAATATTAGTTTATGACACTTGCAGATGCTTTATATGATTTTAATCAACATTCTCAAAATATATATTAAAGTTGGTGACTACAGTCTATTTCAAACAAAATTAATGTCATTTGGCGTCACTTGCGATTTGTTTACAGTTAAAAAGCAAATTTTTACATACATACTTAATGTACAAGCGCAGATTATCAAAAATCATTATAAATAATTAAAAAGTCACTTCACTGCTATAAAAAATCAGATAAAATTTTTTAATTATTTTTAAATTTCTAATTAGTTATTAAAATGTACAGCAAAATTGGATGGCCTTCACAAAGGTGAATTATAGGTCTTCGGCATTATTTTCCAAATGATTTCAACTCAGATTGCAAAGTTTTAGTAATTTTTAACGCAAATTTTTTATTACATAAAAAATTTATTAATTTATTTTTGATTTTTTTTTCTAAATGAGATATGCAAACAGTTTTCAGTAAGCAATTAAAAATGAATTTTCGCAACCGTATTAACTTCTATTATTAGAAAGAAAACTTTAATGAAACTATGTTTACTAAAGATTATTCATAGTTTTATTACACTGTAAAAACTGCTGTGTAATATCTATCCAAATATGACGTTGAACAACACAAAAAATTGTGTGAAAGAAATCTTCATCCCTGGTTAACACCAAATCGCACGTTCATATACAATTTAGAGGATATATATTAAATTTAAACAATTAAAAATTAATAATCTTACACCAAATTCTCATACTTTCCCCTATACGAGAATTATTTTCACTTCTAAAAGCACCAATGTTGGCGCACTTTGAGTTTCCAAAGTTCAAGAAATGTGAAGTATATATCATGAGTAGTTTGTTTACAATCTAGTAAGAGGTGGCGTGAGTTTATTGTTATTTTCAACACTGTTATTCCTCAAAAGAAACACAAATTTCAGTTGTAAAATAAGGATAATTATATTTTAATCTTTAAATCTCTGAGAACTGTATATTTTATAATGTATAATTTCTTTCGCTCAGTTAAACATAGTTTGAATCCATCCTAAGATTCTCTCCGTTCTAAGATGTTTGATTTACAAACTAATTTTGTTTGAACAGCATATACATATATGTATTCTACATATATGTATATGTTGTATGTACATATATGTACATACAACATATACATATATGTATTCTAATTAAAAGATTCTAATTTTATATTGTATTGTAAAAATAACTTAACTTATTCTTGTGTGTACCGTATCTTACTGTAATTATAAATTTTAGAGTTATTAGGTTACAAAAAGGGTCTAATTTACATCAAGTAGCGTAAAAGAACATTGGTGTAGTGAAATTCTAGATCCAAAAGTTATATATGGCGTTTCACTACACCAATTCAGTGCAATGTACTTGCAACTATTTTTAGTGTTGAGATACACTAACATTACACATTTACATTGTACTTAACAAATTGTTTTTTTTAATTAATTGAAAAATAGGAAACAAAACTCTCTATTTAAACAGCTAGTTTCCATATATTCTATATTTCACTTATTACACTTTAAAAATGACAAAAAGAGTGTATGATGAAAAATTAGTTTATATTTTCTGAAATGTGAATACTTTATAACATCTTTTCTTTTTTTAACAATAACACCACGAAAATTAAGAAAAGGTTTAGTTATAGAAATAATTAAAACAATTTTAATGTATAAATTTTTTCTTTGAGTCTACAACGTAATTAATTTTCGTGGTTCTTAACATTTAAAATGGTGGTAACTACTTTGCATCAAAAGTGCTGTTCTGAAACACCAGTAATGTTCCTTTACACTACTTGGTGTAAAGCATCAAGCACTTTGGTGACTCCACATTTTGGTATTTGTAACACTAATATTTCTAGTTCCAGTAATACTAAATACGCATAAGAAAATAAGTTAAGTTATTTTTACGATACACTATAAAGTAAGAATCATTAATTAAAGGTGCATATATACACTAATTCACTAAACGAAATTAGCTTGTAAATTAAATATATGCGCAGCACAGAGAGAATATTAAGATGTATTAGAAGTAGGATTAGCTGAGCATAAAAGGATAGAATTTATACATTATGATTTTTTTTAAATACAGTTCAAACAGATTTCAAAAAATAAAATATAAATAAGATTATTACACAACTAAAACATATTATACATGTTTTAAGGACGAACTTTTTTTTCCGTAGATACATAGCAGAATGAAAGAGAACAAAAACTCACACCAATTCGTATTCCATTTGTAAACAACAATATACTGACGATATCCAAAATGTCCCAAAATTGGTGTTTTCGGAAGCTTGAGATTTATTTACATCCTTTGAAAACTCAATTTGGTTTTTATTTGAAGTATCTAAAAACTCAATTTGGTGTTTATTTGAAGTAAAGTGTATCTTCACACAATTTTCTAGGTTGTTCACTATTAAATTTAGAGAGATATTATACCACAGTTTTTGCAATATACTTTCAAAATTATATTTTACTAGATATTCTTTTACTACTCATTTGGTAGAAACTCAATGATTCCTTTCAAATGATTTCACAAAACCACACACATAATTTTTTTTTCATAACAAAATCTATTTCACACCTTAATTCTTAATCTCAATATACAAGCGTTTAAAAATTTGGATAAATTTTTGAGTCTCGCTTGAAATGTCTCTCTCGTTAATTCGTTCAAAATAATTTCTTTGAAGAGAGATTCATTTAATATCATTCAAATCAGTATAAATGAAATCAATTTATTTATTTAAATCAATATAGGTAAAATATTGATCACAATTCATGTTCTCTTTCTCTGATTAGAGGGTAAATTAAAACTGTAAGTTTATTGAAAAAAAAAATGTCAAACATTTTTATATATATTCTAGCTATTTACCTTCAATTTAGATATTTTGCGTCATGTTTTTCTATAAATATTTGCCTTCAGTGCACGAAACAGTTAAATAAAAATTACTTTATACATTTTAAAACCTTTTTGAAAAATGCATAGCATACTAATTCTTTTTTTCGAAAGTCTCAAAACTTTCTCTCAAAGTTTAAACGCTATTGCTTCTGTCGTATTTGGTGCTAAAAAAATTCTTTTATCATGAAAACAAATACTTTTTAAGCACAGCATTAAAGATTGGTCTCAAAAGAGCGTATCCCCATTAATGCTTCATTTTCCTTTCTTGTCTGGAAAAAAATGTTTTTTAGCTTAGCTTTCAAGAACATAAAAGTTGAATTTTTATAGATGGTATTATATGTCTTATTATGTCATCGTATTATATCATCATACTTTTAAGGAAACAATAATACTATATTTCTTAACTTAAAGAGTATAAATTCTATGAAACAAACTATGTTTACTCAAAAAACAAGCTCATTTCAGGCTATATATATTCAGCTCCCAGAAACTTATTTAGAAGCCATTTCTCTTTCAGTCCAAAATTTTGTTTTTTTTTAACATCAGCATGGCTGATTAATAAGAAAACAGTATTTAATTTAATATGGCTTAGAATAAAATTGCACGATTAGAATGAAATTGAGTTTCATAAGTACTTCTAAGATGTAATGAATACTAATTACTTATAAGTACTAATATAAGTACCTAATAAGTACTACTTGAAATTAATAAGTAGAAAA